AAATCAGAGAGTTTTGGATTCTAAAAATATACAGAAAGGGAGAGAATTTTCCTTAGGGTTTTATGCTGAGTTTTGCAATGATGAGCGCTGAAAAGTGCGTATTTAAATCCCTTAAGCTTAGATATTCTAGAACCTTTATCTATCTTATTTTCCCGTTTTGTATTGATTTCGTGTTATTTCCATTTTCAGGTACTTATCCCCAAAATAAGCTAACTCAGCAAAATAAGAGCATAATTGAAGCAATTCTGGGATGAATCAAAGAAAGGAGCAAAGTAGAGCAAAAGGAAGCAAAAGGTGGAATTTCAGCAATTTCGATCGATCTCAAGAAAAGTTCAATCGATCCAACTTTCATCGATCTCAGCACTTCAAGATAGATCCAGGCCATGATGTCATTTTCAGAGATCCCCAAAGTTCAATTGATCCAACATTATTCTCTGATCGATCAAACTTTCTTGTCCTTATCCAAATGTCAGATCTTATCCAGCTGTACCACCCTACCAACCACTTTTGTCCTTTTCCCAAAAATATCTTCAAAATATCTCAAATTTGTTTTTATCCAAAAAGGCGCTGCCATTGAGGATCGATCCAGCTTCAATTCGATAGATCTCATCCATGTTCGATCGATCTCACCACAAGTTCAATCGATCGAACTTCCCAAATCCCGAGAAAATTCTAAATTCCAGCTCACTAAAAGTTGTCTTATATCCAATCATTAGAGGATTATTGGTGTACGAGTCCAGCTCATTTGGGGTGATTTTTGACCTACCTGTATAAGGAATATGAGCCACTTTTTGATATATATTTTTGGAGACTTAGAGATATATACTTAGTGAGGAAGCAAAAGGAGGAAGAGGCTAGAGACACCATTGGAGGTTCTTCATCAACCAAGGAGCAGATTTCTTCCATGGAGCTTGCCCTTGAAGGTTAGAGGACATCATCCATGAATGACTAGACATCCTCTTGGGGCTAGAATTAGCCCTAAGCATGCTTTCTACTTCTTGATTTATGTATTTTTGAGGGGATTTGTATTGTGATACATGTTTTGACACTTTTATATATATAGATCTTATTTATTCAATGATTTATATGGTTTAATGCTTCCAATTGATCATTTCATTCTATCCATATGTCTATGTATGCTAGAATAGATGTTCATGTGTTTGTCTCTATTTCTTGTGTTGTTGATGCATGTCTATGTGTATTAATGTTATAGATCTAGAGATTGTCAAGACATAGTGCTTAATGGAATGCTCTTGTGGTTTATTTGATGGTTCATACTCATTTCTTGATGGATTGTGTCTCTCCCTTAGTTTAATTAGTTTAATTTCATGTCATTAGCTTAGTTGTAGTGTAGTTGTTAAATGAGAGGACAATCCATGCTTGTTGTTTGATGTTCCATACTTTTGAATGCAAGTAGCATATATCTCTAACCTTGTGATGTGTTTGGTTGTGAGCTTAAAGAAGGGATTAATGGCTTAATTTGATATGTTATGCTATCCACCATGTTGCTTAGATAATATATGCTTAATTTGTCATCCATGCTTATTGAAACAACCTCACACACACTCTTTGTTGCAATACATGTTTTTCCCCTCATTAATCATTCATTAAGGGTGTAGAAAAAGTATGCTTAGTGGTGATCTCTAAACCCCAAAATCTCTCTCTCTTTTATTCTCCTTATTGCATTATTGTTTACTTTAGTTTAAATTACATTTTAGTGTAATTCAACCACCAACCACTATTTTGATCACTCGACCTACTAACCCTAATCTTGATTCCTTAACCTAGTACGACCCTCAATCCCTTGGGATGATCCCTACTTGCCCTAGCTATATTTTTAGTAAAAGGTAGTAGTGACAATTCTAAATGTAAAGCTTGGCCACATTCATCATAAGCTCCACACCATTATCTTTTGGTGCACAAATTTTGGATTTGGATTGACGACACACCATGCAACAATGGGGCTGGAAGGGAAATATTTCTCTTCTTCAATCCTTGAAGTTGCTACCATGTCCATGAGAGGCTAACTCCCTTCCTAGGGAGTTGATGTAACCTAAACCAAGTAAATATTTTGTAAATGCTATCTCAAGTTGGGGATTTTTCTTGTATATATTTGATTTCATAAATTATAAGGTGTTTACATTGAATTAATGTGTTTTTATATTGAATTAATGTATGTGATTTTCATGTGAATATATAGTTATGTTGATATGTTTATCTTGTCTTAGAAATCATATTGACACAATTATGCACTCGATTTCCTATAGTGACAATGGGAATGAATTTATGAAATAGTTATATTGGCATGTAATTGAGAATTTATATAGATTATATTTAAGGAAGATGGACCATGCTACACTTTTAGGTTAATTTAGTTAGGTAAATGGTTCATACCAACTGAAGATAATTTATGATAGATAATTGATTTCATGTGCTGCAACATACAATTGAAGGACCTTGATAGGCCATGCTTAGGGAAGATGGTTCATACCACAATCTAGTTTGGGTGGATGAGCCATGCCAACCAAAGATAAGTTATGCTTAGTCCTGAAATGTATGATTTTCTTGAAGATGTTGTGGTTGTTTTATACTTCTACACATCGTTATATATACATAGCTGTTTATCCCAAGTTAAGTGCAAGCTAGCATGTTTATGAGGTTTTGGTGAAGTCAATTCCATAGCCTTCTCTTTATAAGTTCAATCCATTCTATTCATTTTATTTACTATTTTTTTGTAATTTCAATTCATAGGTTAAGTGACAAACCAATCAAACTATCATCTCTTTTATCAAACTAGAAAGTAATTTTACAATTTTTGTTGCCATAAACTAGCAATCCTTATGGTTCGACAGGCCCTTACTATAGCATTATTCTACATTGATTTGTGTTATTGTTATTGTTGGTCCTAAGATCCTCTAAGTCCTATTTGCCTGTTTAATGTCAAAACTTTGGTTTTGTGTGCTTTAGTGCATATTCTATCTGTATTATGGGTTAGCATATATCACTTAGGCAGCATTGATATTTATATTGCAGTGACAGTCCTTTTACATTGGCATGATTTAATTCATCACAGCTGGTACACTTGTTTCAGCCAAATTGAATGGTTTCAGTCAAGATCAGCATATAAGAAACTTGTCGCAGGAGCTTTCAGGGGTACTTTTGTATTTTCCCTGATGTATTCTATGGATACTCGTATGGCTGGATAGCTGCATTGCACTGAACTGCTGTGGTGAGCCTACATTGTGTCTAATACAGCTTCAGCAACAGGATTTTGCTGAATGTAATTTACAGCTGGTATAAGGCTTGTTTGTACAACTTTTCAAGTATTTTCAGGAATGTGACACGTGGCTGTGGTCCAGGTATATAGTGTCCTCCAATGGTTTTGCAAATCTTAGTGGCTAAGCAAAGGCAAATGTCAATGTGTCCTCACCTGTATAAACTGTTCTTACTGATGCATGAGGTGTCACTATTTGGTGAGATATCAAGGGCAACATTGTCTTTTCATTAAGGGAATGTCAGAATTATTCTTATACAATCATTGGTTGAAAGGTGACAGCATTAAATTAAGAGAGGTGTAGTCTAGCATTTTCACTAAAATATATATATGCTGCTATAGGTGTCTTTTAGGGTTTATGGCCTTTTATAGAGATTAAAAAGAAAGCTGCAAAAGAAAACCTCGAGCTCCTTTTTATTAAACAAAGTTCTCCTATGATTTGTAATGATGATTTATGCAGAAAAACCCACTGCCTCAAGCCTTGTGTGTGATCAATGTGCTGAGATGTTGCTGCTGTTCAAATTACTGAAGAAAGGGCTGGATTGAGTAATGAATCTAAGTTCCAAGTTGCTGTGGTCAATTCTGAGGGTTGTCACAGGTATAACTATGCTATTTACACTTGCTCAATAGTTTGCTTTGAACTGAAACATGCTGAAATGAATTTTGAGCTCTTAGATCAGTTCATAAGCCTGTTTTTCTGCATAAATTGTGATTCAAGTGCAAAATGTTTAAGGCTAGCTATTCTATGAACTATCTATGTGCTAGCAAGTCTATTTGGATGAATCAAAGCTATTGAAATTGGCTGTGGGGCAAAACATTGATAGATTGTGGTTGTGACCTTGCAAAACCTCTAAACTGAGTTGAGTTGTGCTTATTTCTGAACTGAGATTGAACATTGATATAGACTCGTGCTGTGCTGACTTGCTTAAGGATGTTAACATGAGTATTGCAATAAATTTAAGACTGTGGAAGCTACAGCTGAACTAATCTCGAAGGAAATTCCAATTTTACCCTTAAATCACTTGCTGCAGCAGTTTAGTGCTCTTGAGGCAGTAACTTGGTATTTTGTATTGCTTAAACTATTCCACTTGAAGAAAAAGTTTTATTATCTTGTTTATCATTTGTAATGATGTATGTGGTGAGCTATATGAGCTTTATTGGTCCAAGCAAGGGTGCTTAGGACAGGGGGAGTGTGTGTGTGCACTGAAATCAGCTAGTGTATGTATTGGTTGTGAAAGTTAGTGTCAATTCTTGTGCTTGGGTGTGTGCAGAGGGTGAGACAGCTGAGTGTGTAACAAGGTATATACAGCTAGTAGTGATCTTCATTGGCCATGGCCAAGAACCAAGGTTTTCCCTAGTTGAAAGGGTTTCCTTGTAAATCCTGTTTTAAGTACTTATTGCTTGCTTGCTGAATTACTTCATTAATTTTGTTAAGAAAGAGATTAACCAATTCACCCCCCCCCCTCTTGGTTCATTAATTGGTATCAGAGCTTGGGTCTGCATTGAAAGGTTCTAACAAGCCTGCAGTTGGTCCTAGCTATGGATGAAGGTCAAGTTATTAACAAAGCTCCTGGTTTTGAAGGCTCAAACTATAATTCTTGGAAAACTAGAATGGAAGCCTTTTTGATGTCTCAGTCCTATGATGTTTGGCATGCTACCATACATAGTGTTGCGATTCTCAATCCTGAAAATCCATCTACTAAAGACAAGATAGCTGTAGCTAATGATGGGAAAGCCACATGTTCTTTTCTGTGCCTTTAAGCAGCAAGAATTTACCAGAGTGAAGAATTGTAAGACAACCAAAGAAATGTGGGATTCACTTCAGGCAGCTCATGAGGGAAACAAGGTCATAAAGGAAAACAAAATTCAGCTGTTCAAGGTTCAATATGAAGTTTGTAAAATGGAAGAAAGAGAAACCATTGCAGAATATATGTTCAAAATCAAAGATCTTGTAAACAATATGAGAGCTCTTGGTGAAGATGTTAAAGATTCTGATGTGTGTAAGAAAATTCTCAGATCTCTCACTTCCAGATTCAATGCCAAGGTCACTATTCTAGAAGACAAAGATTTGTTCAACATGAAGATTGATGAACTTCAAGCATCTCTCACAGCTTATGAGATGAGAGTTGGTCCTCCTACTTTGCATAGAAGAGAAACAACACTCAAAGCCAAAGAGAATGTTGAAGAAGATAAGTCTAAGTCAGAAGATGATCTTGAAGAGGATGAAGTGGCTTACCTTGCCAAGAAATTCAGAAAATTCAGGTTTAAAAGGAATCTCAGTTGCAGAATCTAACATGCTATGGGTATGGCAAGCCTGGTCATATTGTATCCAAGTGTCCTAACTCTAAAGGCCAAACTCGGAGAAAGTTTGAAGGACTTAACAACAAAGGAAAGTTTGGAAGAAAAGCCTTACTCTCAGACTGGGAAACAGCCATTGAAGAAGAAGAGAAACTTAAAGAAGATCAAGAAGATGAATGTTTATTCATGGCAATTCTAGAACCATCAAAAGAGTCTGTTGAAACTGAAGAAGATACTAACACAGATATTGAGGAAATTCTGGAAGAATATGAAAGACTTACTGTGAAGTGCAATCAACATAAATCTCAGATCAGAAAGCTAAATTCAGAATTATTAAGGTCTAGACAAATTCTCACCAAACACATAAAACTTAAATTGTCAACTATGTGTTTAATTTCCCTTATTTTCCTAAGCATACTCAAGATTCAAAGTAACTCTGAGTGGTCTACTAAAAGATACAAGGAAGAACTGTCTACCATACTTGAGGAGAGATCTCCGAAAATGGCTGAAATTTGGAAACAATCTACTAAGCAAATTGGGAAGACTGGAATTGGATATGTATGTGATTCAGCTGCTAAGATTAGTCAGAAACACTCAACATTTGTTGTGAAGGCCACTACTAGAGAAGTATATGCAAGATATCCCATTGTGAAACCTCCGAGATCAAGGTTTGATATTTTTAACAACATTCAATATCTTTTGAGTTTCAATCAGAGAGACTTTGTTACATCAGCTGCAAGGAACTTCAAGATCACTAAGATGTATATGAAGAAGTCAGACCTAACTCAAGGAGTGAAAGTTAAAGACAAAGGGTCAATGGTGAAATCTAAGATGATGTAAATCCCCAAAAAGCTGAACTCTATAAGTCTTCTTGTGTATACAGCTTTTAAAGCCTGTAATACTCAGGACAAATGGTATGTTGACAGTGGCTGTTCGAGACACATGATAGGTGATGGCTCAAAATTTAACTCCTTACAGCAGTTTGATGGTGGAAATGTTATATTTGGGGACAATCAAAGAGCTAAGATTGTTGGAATTGGCATTGTGAGTAAGTCTAAAGAGTTGCCAGAGATTCAAGAAGTTCTATTGGTTGAAGGGCTCAAACATAATCTCCTAAGTGTAAGTCAATTATGTGATAGTGGGAAGAAGTTTGCTTTAACAAAGAAAGATGCAATATGATTGATCTGGAATCAAAACAAGTTCTGTTCTCAGCAAGTAGATCCTCAGGAAATGTCTACACAGTCACTGAAGAAAGTTAGGTCACCCAATGTAACTTAACAACCTGTGATGAAGCTAAGTTGTGGCACAAGAGGTTAGGTCATCTTCATTCACGGAACATGTCCAAGATATTAAAGCTGAAAGCAGTTAAAGGTCTGCCTGACATTTGTTTTAAGGATGATCATCTTTGTAAAGCTTATCAACAAGGAAAACAAACTAAAGTTTCATTACATTCCAAGGAAATCAACTCCTCTAAGGCACTTGACCTGATACACATGGATCTTTGTGGACCTACCAGAACCACAAGTATTGGTGGCAGTAAGTATTTTATGTTACTCATTGATGACTTCAGCAGAATGGTGTGGGTTTACTTTCTGAAAGAAAAATCTGAGGCTATTACACACTTTATTAACTTTGTCAACCTTGTTGAAAATGAAAGGAGCTGCACTGTGAAGAAACTCAGGTCTGATTTTGGTTCTGAGTTCACCATGAAAGAATTTGAGCACACCTGTGATGACAAGGGAATCAAAAAGGAATTCTCAGTTGTTGCTACACCTCAACAGAATAGAGTTGTGGAGAGAAAGAACAGAACAGTTCAAGAGATAGGAAGAACAATGTTGCTTGAAAAAGGTTTGGCTAAAGGATTTTGGGCTGAAGCTGTTAGTACTGCTGTGTACATCATCAATAGAGTTCTTCTTAAACCAAATTCAACCAAGACACCCTTTGAATTATGGTATGGAAGACCTGCAACAGTACACTATTTCAGAATATTTGGTAGCAAGTGTTATATACTTAATCACATTGACAGTTTGGGGAAGTTTGATTCAAAATCTGATGAAGGTACATTTCTGGGGTATTCTACATAGAGCAAGGCTTATAGATGCTACAATCTTAGATCTTTGAAGGTGGTTGAGTCAATCCATGTAAAATTTGATGAAAATCCTCAAGTGATTCTGCCTGAAGACAGCAATAATACAATTGGTTCAAATGAAGTCAGCTCTTCAGTGACTGAACCTGAGAATTCAAAAGAAACTACATACCCAGTGCTGCAAAAGCAGGTTCAAGCTGAAAACATTATTGGTTCATCTCAAGCTGGAGTTCAAACAAGGAATAGGAAGAAATTAACTGAGTTGGAAGCTGAAGATAACAAAGAATACAGCCACTTTGCAATGTTGTCATCTATTGAACCTAAATCCTACTATGAGGCTAAGAAGATTGAGGATTAGGTTGTAGCCACGCAAGAAGAGCTGGATCAAATTAACAAAAATGATACTTGGACACTGGTACCTAGACCTACAAACAAAAATGTTATTGGCTCTAAATGGATTTACAAAAATAAGATGAATGAAAAAAGAGCTGTGATCAGGAATAAAGCAAGGTTGGTGTGTAAAGGCTATTCACAACAAGCTTGAATTGATTATGATGAAACTTTTGCTCTTGTGGCTAGAATGGAGTCCATAAGAATGTTGTTGTCCTTTGCATGTCACAAACAGGTCAAGGTGTACCAAATGGATGTCAAATCTGCTTTTCTAAATGGAGACCTAAGTGAGGAAGTTTATCTAGAGCCACCTGAAGGTTTTGAAGATTCTGAATATCCCTCTCATGTATTCAAACTAAGTAAAGCCTTGTATGGTCTTAAGCAAGCTCCCAGGGCCTGGTATGAAAAGTTACATCAGTTCTTAATTGAATAAGGTTTTCATAGAGGCAAAGTTGACAGCACTTTGTATGTTAGGATTCATCAAGACCAGTTTCTAATTCTTTAAATCTATGTAGATGACATCATGTTTTGTGGTTCCAATACTTCATTAGCATCAGAGTTTGCCAATCTCATGAAAACAAGGTTTGAAATATCACTCTTGGGCACTCTCAGGTATTTCTTAGGACTTCAAATTGCTCAAACATCCAAAGGAATTTTTATTTCACAACAGACATATGCCTCAGAATTACTCAAGAAGTTCAACATAAATGATAACAAGCATGTTTCAACACCATTGTGTCCAAATACTAAACTGTCACTTGATTGTACCTCAGAAGCAGTTCCATCGTAGTCTACTCTATCTCACAGCTTCCAGACCTGATATCATGTACTCAGTAGGATTGGTAACCAGATTTCAAAGTAATCCTAAAATGTCTCATCTCCAAGCTGCCAAACGCATTCTCAGATATGTTAAGGGCACAATCTCTTATGGTCTACATTACATTGTTTCTCCAACAATTACTATAGCTGCATTTTCAGATGCTGATTGGGGTGGATCATTACCTAACAGAAAAAGCACTTCTGGCTGTTGTTACATTCTTGGCTCTAATGTTGTCTCTTGGTTTAGCAAAAAATAAGACACAGTTTCTCTCTCCACCTCAGAAGCTGAGTATATTGCTGCCTCTCAAGCTAGTTCACAATTACTTTGGATGCAGTCTACTCTGACAGATCTTAGGCTTTACTTCTCCATGCCTCCCAAGCTCTTTTGTGACAATCAAAGTGCTATTGCCATCAGTAAAAATCCCACATTGCATTAGAAAAGAAAGCATATAGATATCAGGTATCATTTTCTCAGAGACAAGGTTCAAATAGGGCTTCTTGATATTACTTATCTACCAACAGCAGATCAAATTGCAGACATCATGACTAAGCCTCTTCTTCCTCATAGATTTTCAACCCTTCAGGATCTTCTAAGGGTTGTTCCCCCACCTCTTTGACCTTACTATTGTTGGTCCTGCTCCCTTTTAACCTTCAATGTCAAAAAGGGGGAGAAAGGACTGAAATAAGGATAGTGTCACATGTTATTCTTATCATTTGCTGAATGTTGGGTTGTTCTCCTTCTATTAGCTGGATCACTATACTTGAGGCCTTATTTCATATCAAAGATTTTGTCATTAAAGGCAAAAGGGGGAGATTGTTGGTCCTAAGATCCTCTAAGTCCTATTTGCCTGTTAAATGTCAAAACTTTGGTTTTGTGTGCTTTAGTGCATATTCTATCTGTATTATGGGTTAACATATATCACTTGGGCAGCATTGACATTTATATTACAGTGATAGTCTTTTTACATTGGCATGATTTAATTCATCACAGCTGGTACACTTATTTCAGCCAAATTGAATGGTTTTAGTTAAGATCAGCATATAAGAAACTTGTCACAGGAGCTTTCAAGGGTACTTTTGTATTTTCCTTGATGCATTCTATGGATACTCGTATGGCTGGATAGCTGCATTGCACTGAACCGCTGTGGTGAGCCTACATTGTGTCTAATACAGCTTCAGCAAACAAGATTTTGCTAAATGTAATTTACAGCTGGTATAAGGCTTGTTTGTACAACTTTTCAAGTATTTTCAGGAGTGTGACACGTGGTTGTGGTCCAACTATATAGTGTCCTCTAATGGTGTTACAGATCTTAGTGGCTAAGCAAAGGCAAATGTCAATGTGTCCTCACTTGTATAAACTGTTCTTACTGATGCATGAGGTGTCACTATTTGGTGAGATATCAAGGGCAACGTTGTCTTTTCATTAAGGGAACGTAAGAATTATTCTTATGCAATCACTGGTTGAAAGGTGACATCATTGAATTAGGAGAGGTGTAGTGTAGCATTTTCACTAAAATATGTATATGCTGTTATAGGTGTCTTTTAGGGTTTATGGCCTTTTATAGAGATTAAAAAGCAAGCTGCAGAAGAGAACCTCGAGCTCCTTTTTATTAAACAAAGTTCTCCTTTGATTTGTAATGATGATTTATGCTAGAAAAACCCACTGCCTCAAGCCTTGTGTGTAATCAATGTACTGAGATGCTGCTGCTGTTCAAATTGCTGAAGAAAGGGCTGGATTGAGTAGTGAATCTGAGTTCCAAGTTGCTGTGGTCATTTCTGAGGGTTGTCACTGGTATAACTATGCTATTTACACTTGCTCAATAGTTTGCTTTGAATTGAAACATGTTGAAATGAATTTTGAGCTCTTAGATCAGTTCATAAGCCTGTTTTTCTGCATAAATTGTGATTCAAGTGCAAAATGTTTAAGGCTAGCTATTCTATGAACTATCTATGTGCTAGCAAGTCTATTTGGATGAATCAAAGCTATTGAAATTGGCTGTGGGGCAAAACTTTGACAGACTGTGGTTGTGACCTTGCAAAACCTCTAAACTGAGTTGAGCTGTGCTTATTTCTGAACTGAGATTGAACATTGATATAGACTCGTTCTGTGCTGACTTGCTTAAGGATGTTAACATGAGTATTGCAGTAAATTTAAGACTGTGGAAGCTACAGCTGAACTAATCTCGAAGGAAATTCCAATTTTACCCTTAAATCACTTGTTGCAGCAGTTTAATGATCTTGAGGCAGTAACTTGGTATTTTGTATTGCTTAAACTATTCCACTTGAAGAAAAAGTTTTATTATCTTGTTTATCATTTGTAATGATGTATGTGGTGAGCTATATGAGCTTTATTGGTCCAAGCAAGGGTGCTTAGGACAGGGGGAGTGTGTGTGTACACTGAAATCAGCTAGTGTATGTATTGGTTGTGAAAGCTAATGTCAATTCTTGTGCTTGGGTGTGTGCAGAGGGTGAGACAGCTGAGTGTGTAACATGGTACATACAGCTAGTAGTGATCTTCATTGGCCATGGCCAAGAACCAAGGTTTTCCCTAGTTGAAAGGGTTTCCTTGTAAATCCTGTTTTAAGTACTTATTGCTTGCTTGTTGAATTACTTCAATGATTCTGTTAAGAAAGAGATTAACTAATTCACTCCCCCTCTTGGTCCATCAGTTATAAGTGGTATTTTTAAAGTGATACACATTTGTGACCCATCACATTGTTAGTTATATTGGAATTGGGACCTATTCTCTTTTACTTCGGATAACAAGTCATTAAGTATCCTTATCTGACCAATTGTCAAAGTTTTCCCAAACCTCTTGAGATAATCGGTCATATAAACTTCTACTTGAAATGTAAGGGCTATTGAGATTTGTTGGGGTATATAT